AAATGATTAGTTAGTGAGTGGATGAGTCTGTCACCTGAACAGTATTTGACTCAGAAGCTGTGAAGTGATTCTTAGTTTTGGTCATTTTGTTATGTAAAACTATCAGATATTTGCTGATTGTAGCTTTACAAAGGCAAATGAGTGCTTGATATTACTGGCAAATCATTATATCACATCCTCATCATGCTGAGACCTGCATACAGACCCAGAATGAGAGCCATCAGACCAACACAAAAGGAGGTACCTGTTTGCCCGGAGGGGGCTTCTTATGCTCTGAAGGACTGTTTTGACACTACAGACTGGGACATTTTCAAATAAGCAGCCACTCATAACAATTGCATAGATACAGCGGAATACACTGAGGCCATCACAGCATACATCACAAATGTCAGGCCCACTCCACCAGACCTACAAACAGCTTCATCCATCAGGCTGTGAGGATGCTAAATGCTGTCCATTACCTGCCCCCCTCTGCCCGTATCAGTGTTCGTGCTAAGCCTTGGATGACAGGTGAGGTTCAGTGTTTAGGGCCGGCGACACCGCAGGCCTAGGGTAACCCACTACAGAACATAAAAAGACTTAGAAAGACTACCCCTGCTGTTTGCACAAACTCAATACATTCCCCCTTTGTGTTATATTACACGTAAATCTGCTGCTGACTGTTGTGGAAACAACAACAACAACAAAAAAAACTACCTCTGCTGTTTTACCGTCTGTTATATTATATGTAAATCTGCTGCTGACTGGTTTTATAAACCCCCACCTCGGAACTGTGACAGTGACATCTCTCTGCTGAACAGCTTCAATGACTTCTTTGGCCGTTTTGAAACACAGAACAACACACCATTACAGAAGACCACCCCTCCTCCAGGCAAGCAGGCTGTGTGTCTGTCTGCAGATATGTTTTTTAATATATATATGTCTATCATAGAGAAGCATTCTGCAGTAATAACAATTCTGTTGTCAAAATTCTAAGCAGACTGCATATTCTGTATTTGTACTTTCAATGTATGCATATAAAATCAATTAACTACTCTGTACTTTACTCAGACTACCTTATTATTCATATTCTTTGCACTGCCTGTACCACAACACTGTATATATATCACCTGACTCAGCCTGGGTAAACCAGGAACTATCCAGAAGACACAGCACTGGTTTGTGTCCAACCCTTCCTCACTCTGCAGTTTGCTGCTGCTGAGCTCTGCTTGTGGGCACAATAGATTTGACACAAGAGTGCTGATGAATCTCATCAGTTTAATGTGTTTATGCTTGCTAAGCCCTAAAGGCTTATTGCTGTTCAATGGAGTGCTACAAAGTTACCTAATTTCCCCCCGGTTGTCTCTCAGCATGCAGCCTCTCTCTGGGTCTACTGGCAACACAGACTCCCAATAACATGATGTGCTCTGCAACCTGTAGAAGGCAGAAGGCACACTGTGTCAGTGATTTCTGCTAACGAGCACAAAATAGACCTTGACAGATTTACAGTGAGTGCAGATATTAGTTTTTTCCACCTTACATTTAGCCCATGACTGTCTCTCTACTTCTACATTGATCCTTTTTTGCAGCATTTTCACAGTAAGTGCTTTAGTCTTATCTTCATTGCCCCCACCTCACCTGTCTCATATTCTAACCTCTGAGGCTGGCTGCCTATATGACAGCTAAAACCCAGTAATAATTAAAATGTCATGCCTTCATATCAATATTTTAAATTAGCTCAAACACAACTCATCGCCACTGCTGTGGTTAAGTACTTTTGGGTGACAGGTAAGTCCAAAGAAAGAGGTACATGAGAATGGTATGATGGAATTACCCAGAGAGAACATGTAGCATTAAAATGTGACTCCCCCATGTGTTACAGTAGTTCATCGTTCATGATTACAAGTGTGCTGCGCTAAACTGACAGATCCATAAATCAGCAGCAACAGGCCAGGAAGCTCCATGTGAGAACTCTTTAGCTTTAGATGTCTGAGTGCAATGCATTAAAAGTGACTAATGTGCACTCATTTGGGAAGGAGGCTGTCAGAGGTTGGTTTTATCAGTGCCATTAAAATACATGCAATCCATGTGATTACATTCATATTAAAATTGCTGTGTTAGGGCAAAATAGGAAGTAGGTTATTATCTCACTATTTTCAGTGGACTTCTGTTAGTAAGTATAGGCTTTTGGCATGAAAGGTTTCCATGAAAAAGTCAATAAAACTGTGAGCTACTGCCGTTTTTCTCAATATTCTAACTATTATGAGTGACAAATAAGGTTGATTCAAAACTTTGTGAGGCTGTACGTGTTCACACATACTCATTTAAAGACATTGTTCAAAAGCAATGCTGAGGATATGGATAGAATGTGACAAATTCTGTCAGAGTAAATATAGTTTAATAAATGAATTAGCTTCATAAATAATGGCTGTAATGACATTTTAGGGGACAATAAGCCTAAGCGTTGTCAGGAAATAGTTGATGTATGAGTTTCATGCCTCAGCGGTTCCTCAAAATGAATAGGCTTGGGAAGATAGCAGGGGCCTGCAACCAGCCTATTTCCTCGAATTATCTACTTGTTGTCAATTTGCACAGTGGAATTACACATGCAAATTGAACTGCCTGCACAAACACCACTTGGAGATGATAAAAACAAATTAACAAAGGCTATAGAAGGAGGATTTATTTCACTGGCTAACCCAGGTCAAGCAATACATGTATTTTACAATTGTGTGTACCCAATTTTGGTGTAATTATATCAGCAAATTATTCTTTGTAATCTTATTATTTTTCCCCAACCTTCTCCTTACACACATAATTAACTTCCTTCATAACCTCACAAATAAATAAATAAATCAATGAATGAATAAAAAATCAGCTTGCCTCTGCATCAAAGTAACAGAGCTTAATCTGATTTGGGGTCCACTGTTGTCAGTGCTCTGCAGCTGAAATCCAGAGGGAGGTGAGAGGTCAACAGTTTAGTGACACTATTTAGTGTCACCGCTTGGTACAGAAGAAGACAAATCTACATAGCCAAAGTCACAATGTTAAAATCTATATAATTAACTCTTAACACCATCCCTCATATTGGGGATGAAATTAAGCATCCCTAGACCTCCACGTTTGCTATTAGATATCTCATTTACTTTGTATACACAGTGCTAATCTGCACTAATGAATTCTGCCACACCAAGCCAGATCGAGATGACTTAAAATTATTACCACTTACACAGATATGCCTTTCCTCATTTGAGGCTCAATTTGGCTGGCTCGCAAAAACAGTCTGTCACAGTAAGATACTAATAATTAGGGTTTTAAGATGATTAGTTTATCTCTGTGCTCTTACAGTCCTGCCTCTTATCCACCATGACCAAAACTTAATAAGAGGCTCTAAGTTTTAAACAGCCAACTCCAAATTACCAAGAAATTATGGAAATAATGAACTGGAGCACATGCCAGGGCAAAGACAGAGAGGTGGACGGTGGGAAAGCCAAGAGACTTTAATTCAAGTGTGAAATAGAACACAAAGTCTAGTAATCAATAAGGAAATGATTCAGAGTTGTAATGCCAAAATTGTTTAGTATTAACAGCTCTAAATTGTGATTCTTTTACCTTCAGATGGTGCCGTGCTCATCAACATGTCACAATAATGCTGAGCGAGTGATACTAGTTAATGGTTGCATATTTATAGGATGATATATAGATTATGCAGGTTCAAGATGACATTGAATACAGCATAAGACTTACCAGCCCAGTTTAATATGAACTGCATTTTGCAAAGCTGAGTATGGTAAATCTGTCTTCTTAGGATACAGGAAGGTCAAGGAGAGTGCAAGGTCTCAGGTTTTGTTCTGTTTTACATTTGAGCAAAAAGACAGAGCTTTCTAATGAACCTACGTTTTTGTTAGTGACCCAAATGTGTCCAAAATACTGCGTACTGAAGGCTAGCATCTAATTTCTGGTCTGAATTGTATTCCTATTTGTTCAAACAGTTTCCGATTTTAAGGGTGCACGTCAAGAATTTTTTCATTATCTACTGAGCTGTCAATCATGTTTTTAAATCAATCAATTGTCTAATCTATAAAATGCTTTAAAATAAAAGCTGGAACAGTGTAAGGTATGGAGTGAAAAGGTGCATTCTGGAAATGTAGTTCTTTACAGCTAAAGTACACAATCTATTAAACCAGCTACTACAGTCCATGAACTATGGGGAGTTTTAACATAATTTTGACATTTATAACATCTGTGAAGTTTTGCCTCCTTTACAATAATACAATATTATTGGCTTACTTGAAAAACTTCTTCCCCTTTTATATACAGTACCTAGTAGCCTACATGAGACTAGCTATTAACATTTTATATACACATTGCTGTTATAGGTTTCTCTCTTTATTCCACATTCAAACAGCACACAAAATACAGGCCATATTTTATGTAGATTATTGGCTTTGCAATGAGATGCAGCCAAAAGAAAGTCTAATGTGAATGAGTGTGAAAGAGCAATTTAGGGCTAGATGTGCCTGTGCCAGTGCCAAAAGCCATACAAGATTTGCATGCTAATCATTCTAATAATAATGTAATGCCCAAAGCACTTTGTGAACCACTGGTCATAGAAGGAAGCTTATCTCTCCCAGAACATGACACAAATATAACATAACATTTAAATGATTCCTAGTAATTCACAGACCTGTCAGTAGCCTTGCTCACCTCAATTAGAAATGCTCCTCAACAGTCTACTCTTGACTTTACTTTACTGAAAAGACTGGTTTAGAACGCTGTAACTACATGTATATTCTCAGTCGCGAATTTAACTATAACAGAAAGGTTCACAGCTCTACCAGCCAAACACCTTAAATTTAATCCTAAACTGTTAAACATTGTTCCTACAAAAACGACCAATAAGAATTTTGGTCTTGCCCTGGTGATTCCCACTGTGCAACCTTAGTAAGTACAGTTCTGATTGGATAACATGAATAGCTGTCAGCCAATCGGTGCTTTTATATGGAAAACGTAACAATGTTTACCCGGAAATGGGAATCTGCTTCTACAACTGTGGTCGAAATCTATAATTTACCGACTTCCGATAGTTTTAGTTTAGTAAAATTAACAATTACCTTATGATCTGATTGTACATATTCGACTAAATATGTACAGCGGACTCCTGCCCAAAGGTTTAACAGAAGACGACCTCAGTCCAGATGACGAAGAGGATAATCAGGAGGATGATGCTGCGAAGAAAATGATGGAGGGTAAAAAGGGTGAGAGTTCTGCCGAAGAAAACATAGACTCAGCGGTAGAGGCACAGCCGACTCACACTGCCAGTGATGCAGGCAGTGATAGTTCGACGTGCAGTATTCCTGGCATATCCCAGGAAAGTTGGCAAGTATGTTGATGTGGTGCAGTGAGCTAACTAAGCTTAACTAGCATTAAGTCTGAAATACAAGCTAGCTTTTGTGTACTTTACCGGTGTTGTTGTTGCACGTAAGTAAGGGCTGTTTACTAGAGAGAATTTTGGTTACAAGATTACTGAGATTAAACGTTATATGGTTTGTGAAGGCCTGTTGGACTATGTGTATATCATAAAACTGTATTTGTACAGCAGAAGTAGATCAAGGCTCCTGGTGCTCTTCTGAATTCAGTATGTGTGCACTGTACGTTCAAGAAATTCCAGGATCTGCGGAAGAAGAATGATGAAATGAAGAAAATGGAGGAGGTCCCCAGAAGAAGAAAAAGAAGACGACACAAAAAAAGTGTCAGTGAAAATGCAATAAAGGGTATGCTTCAATTGCTGGCCTAGTCTGGTGGGCAAGTGTATCTGAAAAACTCTATGACAAAAGGGGAGTAAAAGAAAAGACCAAGCCTAACCCATATTAGAACTTTAAGATACTTAGCACCTTATTGGCACATCTGTTATACTTGAAGACTTCTGTTTAGCTTATGCTAATTTGTATGAAACATCCTAACAACCTTTAACTACTGTACGTCTTATGTCTTTTAACAGGAGCAGAAAATGGGGAACTTACAGAGACAAGGTACTAAAATATTACAGTGTTCACTCAAGACAATTTAGAAAGCAAAATATCTGGCTGATATTCAAGTAAAGTGTTTAAGCTTTCTGGTGCTTATTGTCAAAATATGCATATAGTCATGCTTATGTATCACTAGCAAATGTGAATCTGATATTGTGGACTGGGGAAACAATAGCTTATGAATGCAACACTGTTTGGCAGCTGCCTCTGATACAGACGTGGGCAAAATTGTTGGTACCCTTCCGTTAAAGAAAGAGAAACTCACAATGGTCACTGAAATAATGTGAAATTGGCAAAAGTAATAAATAAAAATTTACTGAAAATTAACTAATGAAAATCAGTCATTGCTTTGGAATTGTGGTTCAACAGAAGCGTTTTTTAAAACAAACTAAAGAAACTGGCCTGGACAAAAATGATGGTACCCCTAGAAAAGATTGAAAATAATTTGACCATAGGGACATGTTAAACTAAAGTGTGTCCTGTAATTAGCATCACAAGTGTTTTCAAACTTGTAATCAGTCAGTCTGCCTATTTACAGGGTGAAAAGTAGTCACTGTGCTGTTTGGTATCATGGTGTGTGCCACGCTGAACATGGACCACCGAAAGCTAAGGAGAGAGTTGTCTCAGGAGATTAGGAAGAAAACTATAGACAAACATGTTAAAGGTAAAGGCTATAAGACCATCTCCAAGCAGCCTGATGTTCCTCTGACTACAGTTGTACATATTATTCAGACGTTTAAGGTCCACGGGACTGTAGCCAACCTCCCTGGACGTGGCTGCAAGAGGAAAAGTGATGACAAATTGAAGAGATGGATAATGCGAATGGTAACCAAAGAGCCCAGAACAACTTCCAAAGAGATTAGAGGTGAACTCCAAGGTCAAGGTACATCAGTGTCAGATTGCACCAGCTGTCTCTGTTTGAGCCACAGTAGACTTTGTGGAAGACGACTGAGGAGGACTTCACTGTTGAAAGCAAATCATAAAAAAGCGAAACTGGAATTTGCCAAAATGCATATTGACCAGCCACAAAGTTTCTGGGAGAATGTCCTTTGGACAGATGAGACAAAACTGGAACCTTTTGGCAAATCACATCAGCTCTATGTTCACAGACGCACACATGAAGCATACAAAGAAAAGAACACTGTATCTACTGTGAAACATGGAGGAGGCTCGGTTATGTTCTGGGGCTGCTTTGCTGCATCTGACACAGGGTGTTTTGAATCTGTGCAGGGTTCAATGAAATCTCAAGACTATCAAGGCATTCTGGAGCGAAATGTGCTGCCCAGTGTCAGAAAGCTTGGTCTCAGTCTCATGTCATGGGTCCTTCAACAGGATAATGACCCAAAACACACAGCTAAAAACACCAAGGGATTATGAAATGGATAAAGATCTAATTTCATCTTAATGATAAAAACAGAGTCCAGTTAAAGGATGAGCAATAAAAAGAAATAAGATGTGGTGAAAACAATTTGCCTTATCATAATGCTGGTCTACATGTATGTAACGAACATTAACACACATCTCCTCTGTCAGCAGACAGCGTCGGAAGGAGCAGGAGAAGCACTGGAGTGAGCTTAAGCAATATTTTGGTGTAAATGATCGATTTGATCCCCCTGCATGTTCCAAACCCCCTCCAAAGGTAACAAAGGTTTCCTTCCTTCCAACTTATCTGCTGAGGCTTTATACTGTGTCTGTCATAGCTGTTAGTAATACCACATCCTTTATGCTTCCACTGTGGTGTATCCTCTCATTGATTTATATGCTATGATATATGGATTAGAAGAATCCTTATGTTAACTCAACCTGACATGGAGAAGAATTTAAAGAATTATGTATGTCTTCATTTAATGATACAATGAATCTCCTTTTTTGTGGGGTTGCTATTAAAGTGAGATGGGGGTTTTTTTTCTCTCAGGAAGAAACCTAATGAAAATCTAAATTTTCCTTGCCAGAAGAAGAGAGAGTTAAATTACCTGATACAGCCTGTGTGACTGCAACCAGAGCATTTAAATGAATGATTAGATAATAGGTGGTTTGGTGCTACCGCTTCTGTGGAATTCATAATTGAAGAAATTAAAACGGAACTTTCTTCCATTCGAATACATTTTCTGCACTTAAAAATTAATGAACGTTTATTGCAAAACCTTTCAAATTGCCAAGGAAGCAAAATATTTGCAAGCTTGATGAGCATTAACCCAGTGAATGGGAACTGTCCTCATTTCAATTTGAAACCCGTTTAATGATTATTTTGGAGTATTTTGTGCTTAATTTATCTCACAGCAGCATAAAATTGAGTTTTTGCTGATTTTAGCCTCATTTTGAAAAATGAAACTATGAAAGGAAAAAAGAAATGATTAACAAGCTGAATGAAACAGAACTTGTCACATCAACATAATGAGGGGCTCCTTCATCCCTCAAATGCAGTTCCTTGTAATGAATATATTTTTTTAAATTCTGCCAAGTCTTGCACACAGTCATTTGAGAAAAAAGCCAGATGGCATTAATTCATCTGCTAACAGAATTTCTTCAGTGACCTTAACCTCTAGAGTCCCTGCGTCCTCATATGAGGACCGCACAGCTTGGGTTTCCAAAGCTCAGGACTCTAGAGGTTAAAACACTTTTCATGGCACAAAGGATTATGGTTTGTCATTGTGAGTTTTGTTTGAGAGATACAGTAGATGATAACTGAGAACAGTAGTCAAGTTGTGTCAGAATCATTTCAAGTATAAATACAGAACAATAAACTACAAAATAAAGACCAAGCAGCCAGAGTTACAGAGAACATTGTGTGTTTAAGCCTGATGGTGTTGTACTTTTAGAGTAGAGTCAAGGTCCTCAAACAGTACATCAGAGGAGACACATTAACAATAGAGCTTCTTTCCAGTGTATTTTTTTAACATGTTGAAAATTTGGGGGATGAAGAAATCTGGTGCTCCGCTCCCTCATCACAGCAGAACTGCCTTACCATCAGTATCCCCCCCCAATCCCCCCCACCACCCGCTTAGGCCTGTAATGGAAATGTGTAATTAAAGAGTCACATTTATGTTTGGTAATCTCCTGTAGCATTTCTAAGATTTCCCCACTAATATCCAATCAAAAAGGTTTTCATTTATGAAGGGAAATCTACATATTTGTAGTAATGGCAATCATATTAAAAATAAGGCCCTAGGGACTTTTGAAGTTACTCTTTGATTTTTTTTTTCTCTCTACCCCATTTCAAAAAAAATCTGATTTTTTTTTCTCCTCTCTCTCTCTTCTGCAGTCCGGCCTTGAAAAGAGCATAGAGAGGGCCATAGCTGAAGGGGACATTGCAAAGGCGGAGGAGATGAGCGACAGACTCGCCACTCGAGAGGTACGTTGCGCTGATAAGAGATCTTTGGGGTGCCCCTGCTGTGACAAATCAGGCTAATGGATCCGTGGCCATTTCTGCTGCAAAGACATAGAGGAACAAAAACACACGCAGACACCCACCATTCAGTCCTGCAGCCCTTTTTCATTGAGTTAATGGAAAGCCCTCCCCTTAGTTTTGAAGTGCTGCAGTGTCTAAAGGACTTTTGGCTCTGCTTTTTAATGAAGGGTACATTGCTTTCAAGCCAACTGTTAAATCATTCTCCAGGTAAGAGTTTCATACCTTTGAAGTTGTACATGTTCCTAAACGCAGTGCCTGAAGTTTTGTAACTAACTGCCTTGGCAGGCATCAAGGATCAAGTGGTTTGAAACTAATTTAGCATAGAATGTAGCCCACACACACATATAATTGTGGTTAAAAGGACACACAACTGCAGTGTTACTCTTCCGCTGGGGGAACTGCCATACTTCGTGTGTCAAAGTTAAACTTCTTTGTTTCATGATGCATGTTGCTTACAGCAACCCATAAGCTTTTTCACTTTGTAATAGTAGCAACACAAACATGTTACCTACTGCAGACTCAGAATTCATTATTGGGTGTGGATTGCACTATAGTTATAAATTAGGTTCAAGAATAACTTTCCCTTCTCTGAATCACCATTTCAGTGTTTTTCTTTCAGTGATTTGCTCAGTGTTACACAACATACAAGCATGGGAGTCTCCCATTTAAACTCATGATCGTATAGGTTGTGACCACCAGTTTTAACCGTTTAAGCTTAGTTTCCAAGAAATTAAGTTTTGTTGTCATTTTGGCATGATGGCCAGTGCCAAATAGTACAGTACCCATGAGCCATTTTCATAATTTCTGTGGAAAACATGCCAGCCAGAGGTGTGAATCAGAGCTGTAGCAAATTCAAAACACTTTGTTGTTGCAGCTGTGAACAAAATATGTTGCCATAGATGCAAAATTTTTCCAAAATTGACCTGAAATCTAAAAGTGTATTGATTTAAAGTAATAGTTCAGAATTATGGAAAATAGCTCCTATGTAGAATGTGAAGTTGACATCACACCATGTTGAATTTTGGGTAAATGCACCATGTTTGGAGCATCATACTCATTATCCATAGATCCATATATACACAACATACATCTATAAGTAAATAAAAAAAAAAAAACTACTCTGCCATAAGCTACATACGATAGCAGGTGCTTTAGCTACATCCAGATGTCCACTTTAGTGTTCAGTTTGTGAGCACAGACAGGTCAGAAACTGATTCATCTGAAGTGGTTATGTTATCTGTCAACAGCTAGCGTTAGCTCCTGAACCGAAAGCTGAAATCAGGTTATGGAGTCATTTTTCAGTCTGTCGCTCTCATAGAATGTATCTCTAATTGTCAGCCAAAATGATGTACAGGAAGAAGTGACACCGCACACTGTAAATACAAGTGTAGAATCTGTGTTTGCACAAGATTATATTCCAGGTTTTTTTTTTGTTGTTATTTATCATCAAAACATTTTTCTAGAAGACCTCACCCTCTTGAATGAGTAAGCAGGCTCCATAAATAAGGTTCAGTATGTTAAAAAAGCAGTTGTACTATTCACTGAATTGGCATTGCATCTGTGCACCGGTATCTCCTGCGTTTAACAGACATTAGTGTGCAGCATCAGGGCCCTTTCATATTCCAGTCTTAACTGCTAACATAGTGGTCAAATATGGGGGAGTTAAATGAAAGCTCTTGTGAGTGGCACCTGCACTGTACTTTCAGAAAGCCTCTTAGAGCGCTCATGGATTGGTTTTAGCCTGAGCCTGGGTTCTCGCCTGCCTGGCACCTGCTAGAGCTGTGATGGGATGTGACAGCAGTCTGGCAGCCCCAACTCATTGTATAGCAGTGATAACTTATTTCATGAGGGTAGTGAATTGATGCAAACTTGTGCACCATTTCCTTCTGAATACAAAGAAAGGAAGCATGGGAAAGCTGAATAGAAGTGGCAGCTAAAAGCCAATAACTTTGAAGGATTCTGAATCAGAAAGGATTATGATCTATCTGGAACAATGCTGTCTGTAAAACAGATAGCATTAAGACCAACATATTTGTTTACAGCACTCCTGTTCACTTTTGACAGGAGCACTGTGACAAACATTTAGAGGATCAATAATCCCCGCTGTGGCCAGAATCAGTTTCAAGGTTATAATTGAGTGGCTCATTTGGTACAGAATGGCTTAGATGTTTAATTTGTTTATGGTCATAACACTGAGACATGATTGTGACAGGCTTTTCACTGGGATAATAGCAGCAGGTTTTCTTGCAAAAAAAGCAAAAACATTCCGACAGCTGTGAAGAACTAAAGAGGCCTGTTTGTCCCTCTAGGCATTGTTTTGTAAGGAAGACGCCGCTACATGTTGGATGACAAAGTCTCAGTGTATTTTCACCCTCAATCTAATCGTTTCCCACTTATCTCCTCAAAGCAAAGGCAAATGGAAGGAAGATAGAAAGCTTGCTGTCAGAATTTCTCTTTTATAAGACAAAAATGTTTGTTTCTGCCGTTTGAGCTCCCCAAATCAATTAGTGATTTCCATTTGCTCTACTTTCTTTTTTTCATTTTAACATTAAAACAATTACCAAAAGTAAAAAAGTGTTTTGAAGGCTTCTTACAAATTCTGAGATATGTGCTCTTTCATCTGTCAGACGTCTGAGACACGCTCCTCAGATATTTCAGGTTGAGGTTTTTTATTCTCATTACGGTTTTTAAATATTTCCCAAGGCTGTAAGTCTTTGTTTCGGATAAATTCATGAAGACATGCTCCATTTTCTAAGTGAAAGTATTAATACCTTCAAAGCTGGCACAAAGAACTCACATCCCCTTTTAGGTAACAAAGTATCATTAATGTCTGCATTGCTTAGACAAAGCTCCCCAATGTATTTCTTTAAACCATGCAAATAAGGTTCTTTTCTCATAAACATGTCTGTTGATCCTCCTCAGCATGTGTAGATTTCTTTTCATAATTCATAGAAGACAGAATGATGTAGAAATCCTCTCACCTCCAAAGTGGTCCTAGTAGTTCAGTAGAACAAAAGATGCCAGTCCTCTAACCAGGCACTAACTGTACTCAGTTTGGACAGACACATATGGATCTAACAAAGCCACATTATCAGCAAAGAGAAAAAGCTCCCAGTCAGCTGAGGATGTAACCTGATACACTTGTGAAATGTGCACTTCTACATCTGATGTGGTGCCATTAATACCTACACATTGAATAACACTACTTGGGTATGATTTAACCAGCTAGCTGCTAAGTTATCGCACCCAACAGCCTCATATTTATTGCATCAAATAAAATAATGTACTGTATCAAAAGTTTTTTGAAGGTCGAATAGAACCATATAATTTTATGAAACTGGATTACATTGGCTACAGCATTTAGTACTAAACTTATAATTATTCCTTGCTTGGCATTTTGAGACAGAACTTGTATTTGTAGCTTCATTCCGTACTGAACCTTAAATCAGGATGATAAAAATCAACTCGGCAAAGCAAAAGCTGCTTTGTCTACTTGGTGCTCAGCTGCTGTACAGCACATTGTTTGTCACACTAATCCACCCTCTTGTGTTTCATTCCTTGCAATAAATAATTACTCCCTTGCTCATTTTTCTCTTTATAAAAACAGAGCCACCGAGGTCTTTTGAAATAGTCAGGAGCTGTGTTTTATATACAGTAAGTCGGTATATTTCACCAAAAAAGATGGTCACACCATGTTAGAGCTTACAGTTCCCCATAGCACTCATCACAGCTATTAGAGTTGCATTACCACTTCAAAACAGAAACTCTCTATAGTCTGTCACAACTGGGGATGTCAAGTCCATATGAAAAATAAAAAGTTGTTGCATGGCTACGGACCTGTGTTGAACCACCGAACACAAAAAACATGTATGTTCTAAAAGGTAGTTCTTCTTTTCAGTCAACTAGCACTATGGAGGACCACTATATTATAGATATGGCAGTGAACTGTTTAGGTGGTTTTATAATATAAGGATCTAGTTGGAGACATGTTTGCCAGTGTGCAAACACCACAAAGGGTCACACAAATGCAGTTCTTCCCACAGTAGACTCAAGTCAGTGGGAAATTGACCTCTGTTCACACTGATTCAAGTGATACTCAATGACAAATGCATCAAAATCTAGTGGAAGCTTGCTGTGATGAGCTGACCTCATTCCTGTATTCACTGAACTGTCCATTCAATCCTGGATTCACTGGCTGCATTTAGATCCAGTACAGCCCAGATACTGGCTTTAATCCAGTTCAGGTTTAACTGACAACAAGCCTACAAGCTTTTCAGTTGTTTTGAATGAAAATGTTTACCTCTTCTTCATCTACAATCTTCTTTTGAATCCATGATTTTGGTGCTATCCCATATTACTCTACATGTAAGAGTTTTATGTTGTACTTTGTGAAAATCAAAAGGGAGAGATTAGTGGTGCCACAGTAAGTTAAACATAAGCAGACTTATTGATCAGGTTTCTAAAAGAGATTAAACCTATCCCAACCCAGTTATTATCCTTGCATGCAAAAAAACAAACAAATTTATTGTCCTGATGGACAATAAATTGAACATACACGGTGGCCTTTATATAACACTCCACGTCTGTGCAAATGAAAGTGCTTAGCAAACCCTGCTTTGCAACAATTATATATTCCTCTAGGTGTGTTTATGTGCACTAGGTGTGTTTATTTTTAGTGTATCTGCAAACTGATTGAACAAATATGAGAGTGTAAAAGGCAGGTCACTTTTTCTCAGAATTAAATTTTGGAAAAAAAACCAGTATATCACAGCATAGATTCATAGCACATTCATGATGACTTCTGTTCTATTGGTGCCTGTTATGTGCTGAATTGAAATCAACCAAATTTGTGCCACCCTCATATGGCTTCATGTTTGATCAGTGGCTTCCTGTTCTCTAGATGGCATTTGGTTGGCGGACCTCTCTTTACACTCTGTTTTATA